TTGTTGGCCGCAGTGGTGTCGGTGCTGAGGGCCGGCAATCCATGCACTGACACACCTGTCCACACATTCACCACAATTACTATTAACACTAATTACACGATAAGACATACATACCAATGGTTAGACACGACAACAGCAGCAGATATTTCATGGTTTACTCGTTCACTACAAATGGTTTGTATTAATGGTTCAACACTTCATGCAATGAGTGGTAAACATATGAATCAGTCATTCATTTGATGTCTTCTACTGTTGTTTACATAACAGACAAACCAATCATACGATCACTGATATGATAGTGAAGGCAAACACAACAACCAATCAGTGATGAACTGCAACCAATGCTTGAGCACACATACAGTCACTCCAATGGCAACCCTTTAGCACTGCATCATCAACTCAACTCATCCACCAATTATGCCATCATTTAGTTCATTGACAAACATTTAGACATTCATTCAATTGATGTGACAATTGATATGACAATTGGTGTATATGTTGGCTAATACTCTAATGACAACTATACTGACTATTATTGTATGAATGTCTGTCAAGAATATAGTATTCCTTATACTGTACTAACTTATAGTCAGAATATTCAAAATTCTTCATTAGTATGTGATTTAATAAGAAATTAAATTATACTACAATTACTCCTACTATGATATACATGTATTGCATATTAAATTCAAATTGACGTCATTTTAAAATATTCATTTGAAATATGATTAATAATATTTCATACAAAATATTCAATGTCTACAGTAAATGAGTTTCAGTGAAATGTATGCAATAAAGTTGATAAAAGTTTAGAGACAAGGAAGTGATTTGAAAGTTTAATTCCATCATTAAAATTAATTCAAAAAACCAAAGTTTTGAAAACAATGATATTCTGCAGAATTTGCCTCAAATTTATGACATTTTAAAAAATAACAATTATGTATAGAACTTAGTAAGGTACATTTAACATTAGATTCTCCAACAGAATTCAATATATTCTACATTGTATAAGTTAAAACTAGGATCTTCAAAAATGTGGAAATAAAAGTGGGTATTATAAATACGGCTAAGTGTATCACTGTGATTCATTAAAAAAATTATTCACTATTTTAATCTGTTTTTGATTTTCAATATTTTAATCCTTTATAATAATTTTATATGAGTATTTAATTGATAAACACTCAAACTTTTATAATCGATCAAAAAATATTTTATGAATAATAAAATATACTGAGTAATTGACGAATTTTAAGAAAATTATAATAAATAGTCATGTAAATTTTATCAAATGAGGATTTATATAAACTAAGAATATTCATATAAAATTATTATAAAGTATTAATATTTTTGAAAATCAAAAAATGATTAAAATAGTGATTAAGTTTTGAATGAATCACAGTGATACACTTAGCCGTATTTATAATACCCACTTTTATTTCGACTTTTTTGAAAATCCTAGTTAAAACAATTTTATTGAACAGAATAATCAGAATATTCTTGAATATTGTTAAAATTAATTAGTTTATACTATAATACAGTATTACTAATACTTATCTGTTATTAATTAAATAGGAGTGTAGAAATT